AGGCAAATGGAGACAAAAGCTCTGATACCACTTGTAGGATCGAAAGTAGGTTTAGAAGGGGGTGATTAGACTACTTGACCAAACAAAAATCTAACATTTTCCCCAATTTTAGTTGTCGGCATATTTTAGCAATTAGCACAAGTCAAGTAATCAACCTACACATGCAATTCTAATAGTGTAGCAACGGAAAGTAAAAACATTGCATATGAAGGTAAAGGGAAGGGTTTGGAGAGTGCAAGCGCAATGAAGACACGGAGATTTTTGGCATGGTTCCGATAGGTGGTGCTATCGTATACATACACGTTGATGGAGACTTCAACCCACTAAGGGTAACGGTTGCACGAGTCCACGGAGGGCTCCACCCATGAAGGGTCCACGAAGAAGCAACCTTGTGTATCACACCATGGCCATCGCCCCACAAAGGACTCGCCTCACTCGGGTAGATCTTCACGAAGTAGGCGATCTCCTTGCCCTTACAAACTTCTTGGTTCAACTCCACTACTTGATGGAGGCTCAAAAGCGACACCTAACTAATCTAGGAGATACCACTCTCCAAATGGTAATAGATGGTGTGTTGATGATGAACTCCTTGCTCTTATGCTTCAAATGATAGTATCCCCAACACTCAACTCTCTCACACAGATTTGGATACGGTGGAAAGATGATTTGAGTGGAAAGCAACTTGGGGAAGGCTAGAAATCAAGATTATTGTGGTAGGATTGGAATATCTTGATCTTGTAAGTGCATCTAGTGCCACCCCTAGTTGGTTTTGGAGTATTGACGGCAAACCTAGTTGAGGGACTAATGTGTTTGTGAGAATTGCAGGATAACACAGGTAGAAGTCCCTCATTGATTCGGTTTTCCTACCAGAGATGACCCCCTAAAAATGTATGAAGACATTGAAGTCAAAGGTGGTATATGAAGATATTCACATTGAAGACTATGACAAGAGAAGACACCACATGAAGCCTATGAAGCTCGAAGACTTAGATCTTTTGTAGTTCTCTTTCTTTTGTGTTGAGTCATAGGAACCACCGTACTGTTAAGTGGGGTCCAAGAGAACTAGTCAGAATGACTGAAGTGATGCCTAACCAAAACCTATATCTTCGAGTGAAGACTATGAGAGCGAATCTTGTCCAGAGTCGGACAAGTCAGCTTTGCTTGCAGCCCAAGTAAAGTTGTCGTGTGAGTTTGAAATCTGACCGTTGGAACACGTGTCAGTTCCTTAGTGACCCAGGGTCATTTCGGACAAATCAGGTCGGGTTGCCAAGTGGCTATAAATAGCCCACCCCCTACAACCATAAACGGTTGGCTGCTCAGATTAAGAGTACGGCTTTTGTCGTTTGAGAGCAACCCACCTCGAAGCCTTTGAGAGAGAATTCCTTGAGATGATAAAGCCCTAACCACCCAGAGCCAAAGAGAATTAGGCATCACTTAAGTCTTCTTGTCTGTGTGATCTGAAGACTTATTACACTTGAGGACTGTGCATCCTCCAGCCGGTTAGGCATCGCGTTCTGAGCATCCAAGAGACATTGTGGATTGCCGGGGAACAAAGTCTGTGAAGGTTTGGGAGTCTACCTTGAAGACTTACCAGAGTGATTGGGCGAGGTCTGTGTGACCTTAGCTCAAGGGGAATACGGTGAGGACTGGGTGTCCTGAGCTGCGTGTTCAGGACTGGGTGTCCGGGACTGTGTGTCCTAAGGTTTAAATACCTAGCCGCCCTAACCAGACGTACAGTTGTCACAGCAACTGGAACTGGTCCAACAAATCATTGTCTTCAGCGAGTCACTGGTTTCATCTTCCCTTCCCTTTACTTACTGTTACTCCTTGTGAAGTCATTGTATGTTTGCACTATCTTTTGTCTTCACTGAGTGACTGCGTGTTCTGTATGGCTTCATAATATCTTCCTACCTGATCCTTACTACATTGCTGCTATTAAGTCATTGTGCTTTCACTCCATTGAATACTTGACTATGGCTTGCCTAGTGTAGTCTACCTACCGCTGCAGGGTAATAGGTTTATTTCTATCGTTTGTCTTCATAACTTCCACGTATTGAAGACTTTCATAAAAATTGCCTATTCACCCCCCTCTAGTCGATATAATGCACTTTCAGATCTCAACACATGAGTAGGTGGTTCTCTCTCAGAAAATGTATGATGGAAGTGTAGGCATATTCTGATGACTCTCTCACCAATGGAGAAGGGGGTGGAGGGGTATATATAGCCTCCACACAAAATCCAACGTTACACACATTTGACCCAACTCGGTGAGACCAAATAGTTGAACTCTGTGAGACCGATTAGCTCAAAATGTGAACGTTAGGAATCTCGGTGTGACCGACTGGAACAACTCGGTGGGACCGATGTGCTAGGGCTTAGGGCAACATCATCTCGGTGTCACCGATTGCATCAACTCGGTGAGACCAAAGTGAAGCAATAATGCAACAAAGAGAATGTCAAGCCAACTCGGTGAGACCGAAATAAATGCAACAAGTCACAGAGCATTGGCAAGGCCACCTCGGTGAGACCAAGACCCATATCGGTGAGACCGAACTGTTCAGGGTTTCTGGCAGTGGCTATGTCATATGAACTCGGTGGCGCCGGATAGAAAGAACCGGTGGAGCCGAGTTGGAGTTTAAGGTTTTGACATATTTGGATGGATAGTGGTTGAGGGTTTTGGAGTAATATCACTAAGCATTTGAGCAAGCAAGACATTAAGCAACACCTCATACCCTTTTAATAGTATTGGCTTTACTATGGACTCAATGTGATCTTGGATCACTTAAACTAAAATAAAGAGTCTAGAGATTTTTTCAATATGTGTCCTCAGCATTTTGAGGGGTCCACATTTCTAGTCCATGCCATGCCATTCATTGAACTTTCTAAAATATTTAACTTAAATGGATATTAGTTCAATGAGCTATATGTTGTTATGAATCACCAAAACCACCCGAGGATTAGTTGCACTTTCACAACTGTTTCGAGTTGATGTTCCCCTCCCAAAGGCAGGTTCTTACGCGTTATACACCCGTTCAACACTGGAAACACCACTCCCCGTTCAACTTGCATGTGTTAAGCATGCCACCATATTTTTCATTACTTTTTCATTTTTATTACCTGAATATTTTCACAAATTCTAAACATTTAAAGCTTGCGAACATTTTAAGAAGATTAGGAATATTTCAAAATTCTAAGAACATTTTAAAGATATGTGAGCAACTTAAATATTCAATAAATTTTTTTCAAAAAGAATTGGAGCATACTTTTAATTCATAAGAAATTTTCAATTTTGTATTTTTTAAATTCACTAAGACTTTTGAAATTCCGTAACATTTCCAAAATTAACCAACATTTTCTAAACAACTGTAATTTTTTCAAACTCAAATACATATTATAAAATTCATAAAAACTTTTCATGAACATTTAAGTTTCACTAAAAAAATAAAATGCATAAAGTAAAATAAAATTTAAAAGGAAAAGTATCAAAATAAAAAGAATACAAAAAGGAAATGGAGAAAATAGGCACCATGCCCCCGGGCCAGCTCAAAGCACGTAGGGATGCATGTTTGGTCGAGCCGCGCAGATAGGACATCCCGTATGTACTACTATATTCACAACAATTTCTAAAAAAAATGCTATTCACAATAACCTAACCTATGTCCATAAAAACAACCCAGATAGAACCAAATTCAACTCCATGGGCTATAACGTTTGTGAGGAAAACAGGACCTCCTATATAAAGCATTGAGCGTCGTATAGACGATAGATGCCATGCAGGTAGGTTTTAGTAAGCAGCCCATTAACGATATTCTGCATTCTCGTTGTTTCCTGCATTGAGGGGTTCGTTCGCTTAACGATATTTTCTTCGATTCTCTCATTTTGCTTCGGTTCTTTAGTTGGTTTTCTGTTTTAGCATAAAAGTACTAAGTTTTTTCAAATGCAACCACTTTTATTCAAAAAAAGGTATTAATAAAAAAGGTACATTTTGTTCAAAAAAAGGTTTGCCATGTAGTAATAAAAAATATTATGTATATAAAAATGTATTTAGTTTGTATTATGAATCTTTCATCATAATTTAGAAAAGTTCACCATGTATTAAAAAATGTTCACCATATATAAAAATATATTCATTGTAAATTATAAAATTGTTCAGTGCGTATTTAGCAAATGTTCAATGTACAACAATTGTTCTTAATGTAATTTGAAAATGCAAAAAAAGAATGAAATAAAAACCAAAAATAAATTGAATCGCCTATGAGGTTGTTTCTTTTTAGATATAGATCATTCACCTTGGCACATTCTCGCAACATCTACCTGCTTGGCCTTGCCAAAAATAATAAAAATAAGTGAATTAGTGACTACTCCATTCCGAAAAATATTTGCCAAGAATTTCCCAAGAATGGGCCTGGCCCAAGATATTCCATTCCGAAAAAATAGGACGTAGCTTATCAGAAATCTACTCCCTCCACATTCTAAAAAAAAGCCTACTCCCTCCTCAAAATACTAAGGCATGTTTAGCTTTTTTTTCATCGCACAATTTTGACTATGACTGTCATCTATTGTATGTCCACAAAATCAGTGTAAACATATAGGAGACATAACTTTTTTTCGAAAGACAATTATGATGATATCATTTTATACATGTTCAACGTGTATAGTTTGATAAATGGTGTGCATCAAATACAATTCAAAGTCAAACCGGACTTACATTTTACGAAGGATGACGTATCTTAGAAACCAAATTATTATCGCCTAACAAAAGGAAATCGACTTAAACGGAGAAACTGAATCACCTGTGATGAGATGTAGCAAAAGTGAATTCTTTGGCAGCATTTGAGTTTGAGTTGCAAGTTTAAACAACTTTTTTCAAGATAATAGGAATTGCAAGTACGAACACAAGCAGATGACATTACATTTGTTTCACCTCCATCGTTCTGACTTGGCGACTACACGCAGGCGAAATTTGTGACGCCTGACACGGTTCAAAACCCTGGCGCGCTTCAGTTGTACTTCATGTTCAGCGCCTTCCCCAGGGTGAGGCAGCCCGGCGACGCAGGCGGCCTGGCGCCGCCTCTCTTCCCGCCTCCTGGTGCCTGGGACGGCGTCGGCCGCCGCCAGGAAGGCGCGGCCGGGGTGCTCTCCACGCGCCTTAGCCGACCGTCCTCCACCGGAGCGCGTGGCCGCGGTGTCCGCTGCTTCAGCTGGATCTCCTCCCGCAGCTCCCTCTCCAGCGCCGCCTTGGCCTCCTCCGCCAGCTCGGCCCGTCTCACCGCCTCCTCCAGGCTGAACTTCAGGTCGCTGATCTCTGCCCGCGCCGCGCTCAGCTTCTCGTCCTTGAGAGACCCGCCGTCGGCCTCCTTCGCGACGAGCACGTACCCGCCGGCGAGCCTGTCGACGTCCCCGACCTCCTTCTTGTGCAACTCGCCATCGCCATCGGCCTCTTTGGAATCCACCTCCACGATCTCGGAGACAAAGCCCGCACCTGCAGCCTCTGACTCTGAGACTCTCTTTGCTGCCAGGTTTTCAGGCATGCCGATGCCGGCGTCCATGAACTTGCAACACTCAGAGTTCACGCTCCTGAAATCCTCCATCGGGCTTTCAGGCATGAAACGAACCCTCCTTTTCAGTCCTGCCTGAACTTGCACGACATCAGCAGACGTTGCAACGTTGACATTCCCGTCACCAGATTGAATGTTTGGACAGTCCTCCCTCGGCAATTCAATGTCAAAATAGGCTTCAGCAACTTCTGGACAGCCATTGACAAGATCAGCGACTTCTCCTCGTGGTTCTTGGCTTCCCTTGCCATCGTCAGACTTGCCAGCATTGACGTCGACGTGGTCGTCATCACAGGACCGACCGGTGTCCGCAGGGTTTGCCTCAGCATCGCCGTCGGCATGGCGCACCGTCGTCGAGGCCGAAACCATGACCCGTTCTGACACCGAGACGTAAAGCTCCTTGAGCTGCATGAGCTCAGACCGCAGACACTCGACCTCGATGGTCTTCGCCAGCAGCTCCCCCTCCATGCTCTCCATCGCCCCCTTCTGCTTCCTGATGGTCTTCAGGTTCTTGTCAGAGCTGAACAGCTCGAGCGTGACCTCCTGGAAGTAGACGGACCGCTCCTCCTCCGCCCTGATGGCCGCGACGGCCGACTCCAGCACGGCCTCGTTGAGCTCCAGCACGCGCATCAGCCCGTCCCGCGCGCTCTCCCGCTCCAGGATCCGCCGCGTCTCCATCGACTCCACCTCCCCGAGCACGTAGGCGTTGGCGCGCCTCACGGCGTGGAGCTCGCCCACCGCGACGTCCAGCTCGTCGCGGAGCGCCTCGCACTCGGCCGCCGCCTGGGACTGCCTGGTGGTGATGGCGACGTTGTCGGCCTCGAGCTCGGTGATGCGGCGGTGCGCGTCCAGGCACGCCCGGTCGTACTTCTCCGACAGCTCCTGCATGGACTTGCGCATGGCCTCCAGCTTCATGTTCGCCTGCTTGCTCTCGCTCTCCTTGGCCTCCAGCTGCAGCTTGCACGTCGCCAGCTCCTTGGTCACGACGTCAATCTCCTGCCCCTGCACTTGCAAACATGGACGGATTTGAGCAGGAACTAGATATGCAGTTGTCTGATTATGCGAAGTTGTGAAATTGAGTACCCACGTACGTTTCTGTCAGGGCTGCTGAACCTGCTGTGATCACTTCTCTGCTCGAAGAGATTCAAGGCAGACTGCACGGATTCTAGGGGCCTCGTGTCAATCTCGGCCATCTGTACGTACAACTGGTTGCCTTGCGTCGATTCAGTCAGTCCTTGTGCGGTTTCCTGCACGAGTTGAACAAGAATGATGCCTCAAGCGTAATATACTGATTAAAATAATGCCAGATGCCTATCCTAACTCAACAAGTTAACACCAACTCTTACAGGTTACTAGTAATGAAAAGCCATACAGCCTAGTCACACACTTTGTGTGGTTAGCACAACTGTCAAAACATCTTCAGATTTGTCCGTCAGTTAGCCAACAACTTCACTTGAGTAAGTCTAGAAGTTCAGTTGATTACAGGTCTGAATACTTCAAGCCATCAGCAGGTACTACTACGCTAAGCGATGAATTTTATACCGAGTTCGAGGAACACACAAAAACCTATATAAGCAGTCTGACTTCTCAAATGGCAGATTCACCCCCAAAGAACATGGCAGATTCACCTTTGCGCGTAGTAACAACAGATGTGGAGACGTCTAATCAACAAGAGATCGTACCTTGAGCAGCCCAGGAGGCGGCTCACTCGATCACGGGAGCACGATCGCGCAGCGTTGCCTTGCTGCTGGCCTCGTCGGGCGCTTCACCATTGGCCAGAGGAGCAGCCCGCGAGTCCAAGAGACCAAGACTGTAAATGCCAAAGAGAGCAGCGAGTAAAATGAACCGAGGAACGAGTGGCGCTACATATACTGCCACAGGAGGCAGAGGCTAAGACGAGGCGCCGTGAGCAACGAGGGGGCTCGTCTCCATCCCATCCCGAGGAAACTATCGCTTTGGTCGTGGTGAAAACGCCGATGCGGCGGGCGGGGTCAGTCCAAGCGCCCACTACTTCTCCTCGTGCCACGACGCCACCCCCCTGCGTAAGCGCCCACGATCGATCGTGCTCAGCTGGTTTATCCGCTCCTCGGTCGTGGCCGTCACGCCACCGGTGCGTACGACTATACTCCCGGGTTTTAGAGCATCCTACTATCACGTCCTACACGTGTTCCTTCATATTTTAGATACTACTGACATTGTAAGGTCCGCAAGTGAAATTAAGTGTGCACACAAGATAGGGGGTTCCTAGAAAAACATGGGTGCTAGCAACAGATAGAGATTCCACACAGATCTTATATTTGGACTCGATGGATTTGGAAATGTTGGGCACCCCTCACTTGCAAGATCTTCATGTGGCTCGCGATACAACATAGAATATGGACATTTGATCGGAGGCTGCGGCATGGGTTACAGTACAACCCCTCACCTTGCTATCTGTGTGACCAGGAGAAAGACAACGTGGATCATCTACTCGTCCAGTGCGTTTATTCACGACAAGTATGGCACATGATCTTGTCCAGCGTTAGGGCTGCGCCAGCCTTAGCGCCGCTGGCGAATGATAACTTGAAATCTTGGTGGGGCAGCACCCAAAAGCAGCTTCGCAAGGAGATCCGTAAAGCTTTTGATAGCCTGGTGATTCTGGTGTGTTGGGGCTTATGGAAGCAAAGAAATGTTCGAGTTTTCCACCCGACGACTCCACCTTCATCGGCCTTCGAGTTAGTACTTAGGATTCTTAATGAGCTGCGCATGTGGGCGACAGCGGGAGGGTGTGGAAATGACACCATTGTGTGAGGAGTTAACATAGTGCGTGGAGTTGGAGTTTGCCATGGCCTCGGTCGGCTTGTGACTGGTGGCTATGCTAGTAACTCTCTTGTACATTATTTTCTCTTTTCTATAAAGTTAAGGTACGCAATTTGCATACTCTCGAAAAAATATTTGGACTCGAGTGGCCACCCTCATTACAGTGCTCTTAAAATAGGGTTTCACCCCCACTTTATAAATAAAGGCGACATACATACAACAAGTTCAAGTGCACTAAGCAGCATAGACGGCTAGGACAATCAGCACAAGCACGCCTAAAAAGCATAAAAAAGAAAAAAGGTCACCAAATGTTGCGAGGATTGTCGGCGAGCGGTAGCATGTAGCGCATCCATCATAAGTCCTAGACGCTCGCGGTCACGCTACCTAAACAATGGGTGCGAGTGCTCCAAGAAAGCAAGGGATTTAAAAAACGAATAAGAGGCATGTCGAGGAAAAACCCTATCAATCACCATTATTACGCGTCCCCCACAACTTCCAAGCTAACGTCGCAAACACAAGCCAGAATAGGCGCCGCTTCTCCCGGTCTGGTTGGCTCTAGTTTGAAGGAACCCAGTCAGGCCCTAGAGCCTCCCAGACGAAACTTCAAAGAACTCTCGCCGCCGTGCAAGACAAAATGATGCGGGTGCCCATCTTCAGGACATCACAAAGGGGACACAGGCCATTGGGTCGTGCCTCTTGAGCACCTTCATCCCAAATGGGAGTCGGTTCCTCAATAATTGCCACACAAAAATCTAGATTTTCAAGGGCAAAGGTACTTTCCAAACAGGATAAGCCCATGAAATAGTCGGCGTACAACATAGAGCATGGTATGCCGGACCAACGGAGAAAACGCCCGAAGGTGAGAGACTCCAGGATACGGTGTTCGGATAATCCGCGAGCATCGGTGGTATAGTAGCCCATGAACTCTATTTTCTCCGCCTGTCCAAATGACCGTCCAAACAAGATTATCCAATGGCCATTTTGGGCAGTCGCCGAGACAAACACCATCGAATCCGCGCAGATGGCATACAAGTTTGGGAATCCCGTATATAGTGGGACTCCCCCAACCCATGGATCAAGTCAGAATAGAGTTCCCTCTCCATTCTCAATACTAAAGAAAACCCCTACCCGGATTTCCTGCTAGATCCATTGGATGAAATTACAGAGCTGGGATCCCTCTGTACGCGAGCAAGCAAGGAGGGGCTCGCCCCGCAAATACTTAGCATGAAGCTATAACCATAGCCCCCTCCTCTCGAATGATCCACCAAATCCAACGCAACATGAGGGCTATGTTCATGTATCACGAAGCAAGTGTTGGGGAACGTAGTAATTTCAAAAAAATTCCTACGCACACGCAAGATCATGATGATGCATAGCAACGAGAGGGGAGAGTGTTGTCTATGTACCCTCGTAGACCGAAAGCGGAAGCGTTAGCACAGCGCGGTTGATGTAGTCGTACGTCTTGACGATCCGACCGATCAAGTACCGAACGTACGACACCTCCGAGTTCAGCACACGTTCAGCCCGATGACGTCCCTCGAACTCCGATCCAGCCGAGTGTTGAGGGAGAGTTTCGTCAGCACGACGGTGTGGTGACGATGTTCATGTTCTACCGACGCAGGGCTTCGCCTAAGCACCGCTACAGTAATATCGAGGTGGACTATGGTGGAGGGGGGGGGGGGCACCGCACACAGCTAAAGGATCAAACGATCAATTGTTGTGTCTATGGGGTGCCCCTTGCCCCCGTATATAAAGGAGCAAGGGGGGGTGCGGCCGGCCAGGAGGAGTCCTACTCCCACCTTTCCTAGTTGGAATAGGATTCGGGAGAAGGAAAGAGAGAGGAGAAGAAGGAAAGAGGGGGCCGACCCCCTTTGCCCTAAACCAATTCGGTTTGGGCCTTGGGGGGGGGCTCCCCACACTCCCCTTGCTTCCCTCTATTTCCACTAAGGCCCATATAGGCCCATTAAGCTCCCGGGGGGTTCCGGTAACCACCCGGTACTCCGGTAAAATCCCGATTTCATCCGGAACACTTCCGACATCCAAACATAGGCTTCCAATATATCAATCTTCATGTCTCGACCATTTCGAGACTCCTTGTCATGTCCTTGATCACATCCGGGACTACGAACAACCCTCGGTACATCAAAACATATAAACTCATAATATAACCGTCATCGTAACGTTAAGCGTGCGGACCCTACAGGTTCGAGAACTATATAGACATGACCGAGACACGTCTCCGGTCAATAACCAATAGCGGAACCTGGATGCTCATATTGTCTCCCACATATTCTACGAAGATCTTTATCGGTCAAAACGCACAACAACATACGTTGTTCCCTTTGTCATCGGTATGTTACTTGCCCGAGATTCGATCGTCGGTATCTCAATACCTAGTTCAATCTCGTTACCGGCAAGTCTCTTTACTCGTTTCGTAATACATCATCTCGCAACTAACTCATTAGTTGCAATGCTTGCAAGGCTTAAGTGATGTGCATTACCGAGAGGGCCCAGAGATACCTCTCCGATATTCAGAGTGACAAATCCTAATCTCGAAATATGCCAACCCAACAAGTACCTTCGGAGACACCTGTAGAGCACCTTTATAATCACCCAGTTACGTTGTGATGTTTGGTAGCACACAAAGTGTTCCTCTGGTAAACGGGAGTTGCATAATCTCATAGTCATAGGAACATGTATAAGTCATGAAGAAAGCAATAGCAGAATACTAAACGATCGTGTGCTAAGATAACGGAATGGGTCAAGTCAATCACATCATTCTCCTAATGACGTGACACTGTTAATCAAATGACAACTCATGTCTATGGTTAGGACCATAACCATCTTTGATCAATGAGCTAGTCAAGTAGAGGCATACTAGTGACAATCTGTTTGTCTATGTATTCACACATGTATTATGTTTCCGGTTAATACAATTCTAGCATGGATAATAAACATTTATCATGATATAAGGAAATAAATAATAACTTTATTATTGCCTCTAGGGCATGATACGTCCATTTTGCATCATGCTTTTATATCGATATTTATTGCATTATGGGCTGTTATTTCACATTATGTCACAATACTTGTGGTTATTCTCTCTTATTTTATAAGGTTTACATAAGGAGGGAGAATGCCGGCAGCTGAAATTCTGGGCTGGAAAATGAGCAAATATTAGAGACCTATTCTGCACAACTCCAAAAGTCCTGAAACTCCACGGAATACCTTATAATAAATAATGAAAAATCCTCGCCAAAGATGAAGACCAGGGGGCCCGCACCCTGTCCCCCCAAGGCCCAAACCGAATTGGTTTAGGGCAAAGGGGGTCGGCCCCCCCTTTCCTTCTTCTCCTCTCTCTTTCCTTCTCCCGAATCCTATTCCAACTAGGAAA